AAAGCTTGGTCAAAAGAGTCAAAATAATTTTTTTACACTATAGTAGGTTAATATTCGATAAAACAAGGTTGTCTACGTAATTACCCACAGAAACCGAAAATGAATAGTTTGTAAACGTGACAAGGTCAAAGTCTCCCATCTAGTTTTATTAGTTAAATTCTTGTTGTTGTTTTTTTATGCCGAGTGCACACAGCTTAGATCCAAGATGGCGCCGGCACAATAACACGTTAATATATGCATAAAGAACACGCTACAGACGATCGCGCGGGTGAGCTTTTTCAACTACTAGTATTCTTTTTCACCACAACGGGCCACAAGTTTAACTTTGAACACCAAGAAACACTTAGACCCCATTCATTCCAAGCTTTACATATCTTTAGCAGGGTTTAGCCTGGTATGAAGGCAAAATATTCAGCTTCGCCAAGTCTCATTCTCGATTGATGTGGTGTGAACATGAAAAATACAAGAAAAAGTGTGTATGGATTGCCGTGTAAATCTTATTTTCTAAGGATGGCTACAGCCATGTATACTAGTAACCATGGATTTAATTTTAAAGCAGGGGAATAACGCACTTCTCAGCTTCCCATTGTGACGATAATTAGTCAGGACACGAGACGTTTCCAACAGTGGGAAATCTTGTACACTTCGCGTGTCCCATGGTGTGCGCGGGTTTCCTACAGTGGACACGCCGGGATGGGACACCTGTGGACACTCGTGGACACGGCTAGGACACGTCAGATTTCACCAACGTGTCCCAGCTTGGAAACTTGTGGAAATCTCGGTTTTAGCCCAGTGTTGGTAACACTCTTCTGCTTACTTGTAATCGAAAACTAACTTGAATAACTAGTGAAATGTCCCCTTCCGATCCGTCAAACAATGCCCAGTTTTAAGGTAACAGTTAAGACCCGATAGAGGGGTCGAAATGTACAACATACACTTAGTTTTACTCACCAGTCATCCTCATATGAAGCCTCTTCTCATTCACCATTGTGTTAACAAATCACGACTTTTAGTAGTGGTGCAAAATCTCATCAAAAAGGAGTTTTGTTTGCTGGACTATGGCTGATGCAACTGCAAGCTTTCTTTGTGCAACTTGGAAAACAGCTGTCCAGCAGATGATGTAACGGAGAAGCCAGCTAGCTGACACGTGTTTTTCCTCTAACGAAAAACAGATGTGAAACCGCCAGAGCGCAAGGAGCCTGCCATGGGCTGATTAATGACTGTCTCACTGGGACTGAAGCCGACGGGCCATATCCATTACAAGCTGACCTTTTACCACCAAAGGCCAATATTATACTGTAAAACCTTTCTGCTGTTTTGAAAGCAAAGCTTGTGTCATTCTGTTCTGTACTGTACAGTACTGCATTGCGCATTTACATGTACATTGGTCAAATGTTACTTATCTTGACCGTCACTCCTCACAATATGTCATCTTACATCCTTTCCAATTTGAGAAATATTAAGCTCCCAATCACTATTTTGATCGGGATACAGAAACATACTTTGTGTGCTGGGCCCAGGTATTGCCGGGCCAGGGCATTCCAAAGAAGAAAGCAGGGTTGCGTGCGTGACTGCAGCTGTTTTGCAGGATTCGTGAGGTCAGGGGTCAAACCTGAATCATTATGTATCATTATTATTATTATATAACTTTCTATAAACAAAAATTATAGATGAATCCCCCTGATTGTGCAAATAGGATCCTATATTGCATGAATTATATCTGTTAATCATATTCTACACCAGAAGACAGTCTTATCTTATCAATGCATGTCATTATAGCATGTCCTCATAAATTATGCAAATGAGGTCCTTATTTGAATAAGTTATGTTAATTATGTTCACCTTCACATAACTTTCAAACATCCCAAGTTTGAAATTCCAAACATAACCACTATGTAATTATAACATTTTCTCATTAATTATGCAAATTAAGTCTTCATTTGCATAATAGATACCTGCCTGTATTTCTGCCATTCTGAATTACATATGTCACAAGCTTGAATAGTCCTATCATGGAATGCAGCTGATTTATAGAATTTCCTCATTAATTATGCAAAGTACATTAATATTTGCATAATTGTAATATCATTATATTAAGTATCACTTCAGCTACCTACATGCCAAAAATCACGACGATCCATCAATCGGTTCTTGAGTTATACGCCTTTAAACAT